TCAGCCTGATTGGCCGTAATGAGTATCGGGACCTTGAAAATGACTGGAAATGTATTGAGAATGGTTCTCACTCTTCTGCTCCTTGCTTCTATCAGTCAAGGTAATTCTTTATATTCTGTATATATCCTTTTGTGCGTGCGTGCGTGTTATGATGACTCAGCAAAGATGGGTATTCGATACCAATATTGACTTCTAACACTATCTGATGTGTCTGACAGGGATCCATGGTGTTGAGTTGTTCCATTATGAAAAGATGAAAGCTGTAGTGGGCCAGAATGTTTCCTTACCCTGCACTTTAAAAAGTGCTACTGATAACAAGATTGTCAGTATTGAATGGAGTAAGGAAACAAATAAAAACACAAAGCTGGGTTTGTACAGCCAATTTTATGGAATCCATCTATTCTGGCAAAATATTACCATCCAGATTGAGAAAAACGGTACAGATGTCCTGGGTTCCCATCTAAAACTTTCTGATGTGAAGAAATGGGATGAAGGCATCTATGTTTGTGACATGGCCACCTTTCCTGCTGGATCCAGACAGGTTAAAACACAGCTAATAATCAAAGGTAAGAGAACCTAGTACGCACAAAGCCATATCTAAGCACCTAAACCAGACTTTGTAGACCACCCTGGATTTAATATTTAAATAGAAATACACAACATCTTTCTATCTAATGCTGTATTGTATATATTTCACATTACTTGAGGTTGCATCACAGCACTCAGTCTCTGCCAATCTCAGCAGCTATTTACCGCTCAGCAAATCCAAGTAAGAAAAAAAGAACACATCTAGGAGCTTTGCTAAAAGACACAGTTTTCTTTTGCATATTACTTGTCTCATAAAACACGACATATACACTCTTTTGTTCAGCTGAAGGGATGTTGTGATCACAACACTGGCAGAAGACGTATTACAAAATGTGCTTTTCACATCAGTCAGTCGGTTTAAATTATTATTTATTTTTACGTTTTGTGTGTGATCAAGAAACCTAATTAATCTCATGCTTTCCTCAATAGATGACATTAAAATAACGTGTGATGTGAATGGCACTGTTGAAGTCCATAATGGAGAAAATGTGACAATTCGCTGCACATCATTTCCAAACGCACAGTACACATGGACCAAGGTAAAGGAAACTTGAAACTGAATTTAACTCTGACATTGTTTCAAAATAAAAGTTTTTTATGTGCTACATAATCATGCTTTGCCCCAGAATGATGAACTGTTGTCAGAGACTGAATCTCTGGAGCTCTGGTGGGTGACTGATGCTGATGCAGGGGTTTATACACTGACTGTCAACACAGGAAGCAAAAGTGTGCGCAAAGAGTTTGTGGTCACAGTGCAACCACAAGTTTGAAGACAGGTGAGCGTCTTCAGTTCGTTGCTGCTGTTTGCCTCTTTGTGTCATAATAAATGATATTTAAACTATAAAATCAAAACCTCAAATCAAAACAGGTAAAAGTTTTACTATCTATTCATTTAAATGTCCTATGCCTGCTTACATTGGGTTTTCTGTGAAAGACACAAAAATAGTGATATCTGTCAAAATAGCCAATAGATGTGCATACAATACCTGTACATGCTTTATAGATTCAAGTAACTGTCTAACAAAGCCACAAGTCAATATTTGTGCTCTGACTCTTCCTAGGATGGATCTACCACCTCCTTTCAATCTCCCTCCACCTTTAGTCAAGTATACAGCTGCAAGATAGAGCAAGACTACAACAGAGCCTTTCCCCATCTTTGACATCTTTCATATTCAAATATGAAATCTGTCAGTTCATTAGCTGAAACGTGAAGTAACAGTAGGGATAGGGTTTAAGCCATGTCTTCTCTTGTTACTAATTAGAAACCAGTACAAACCAGAAGTTTTGCAAATGTAGCTCTGTCTAAAGGTGTTTTCAGGATTTTTTTTCTTTTTCTTTTCTTTTTGAATGAGGTGGCAATTGTTGATTTATTTTTGTGTATATAGCTTTGCAGTTGTAGCTGTTGATGATTTCAATTACTTTTAATTTTAATATATTTCTCAGTAATAAAGCTATAAAGCTATAAACCAACAATTAAATAAAATACAAGTACATAAAACCTGAGTAAATAATCCTGTATATGCTCTGATCCAATTTCCACAATTGTTCATTTTTTTTTTTTTTTTTTTTTAATTATAATTTGTATTTCTGATTTACTAAGTTTTACAGACCAATAAACCACAAATGCTACATTTCTGCAACATATAAATTCTTCATATAGAAACATTACGTGGACAAAAGTATTGGGTCACAACACTTAATCTTAGAATTCAGGTGTTTTCAGTCCCATTGCCACAGGTCAGTGGTGGAACTGAAAAAAATTATATGTGGGGCAAGATGTCTAGGCAGAGTGGCACATACCTCTTTAGAGTAGTATGTGGTAAATACCCCATATGGAGTCAACAAAATATCCACAAAAACACTTTAAAATTATTTATTCTATAATTATCTCTTCTGAGAAAACAAAGGCTACAAGAGGCTTTTGGACAAACAAGCAATTAGCTTTACAACTATTTTAGCCATAGTATTTTAGGTCTGATGTTTGTGCCATTTTTTTTTTGTAAATACATGTGTGAGCAATAAATGATCAAAAACCAGGAATATGATGGATGTTTGTTTTTTTTTTAAAAGAATTTAACCTTCTCTGTATTTTGTTTTATGGCTAGACAGAAAGCTAAATAGTATCATGTTTTGTCAATGCTATGCAGGCTGCAGCTGTACTCTGCAAAGGGGTCAAACAGCAATACAAAGGGAAATTAAAACTATACACTTGTAAAGTTAAATAAAAGTTTTGTCATTGTAATATTTTGAAGCAACCTAAAGCTCTGCATTTGCTCAGTATGTGAAAACTCTTAAAAGGCTGTGCAACATTTTTTTTTTTTTTTTATTTATTTTGAGACCCCCATACACACACCGATAAAAAAACAAAAACATATTTCTTGGCTGAGCTCACGCACAGGCATTTGATGATTCTCACACTCCTCCAGACTATTTTATATTCACACAATAACATAATGTGGCTTGAAGGCATGAGGGCTGGGTTTGCAGGAACATATGTACAGTAGATTCACAGTCTCACTCACTGCATATGCATCCATGTAGATCCTATTAAAGCATTTAATATTATTGCATCCATTGTATACTTCTGCAACCAACCTAAGTACGTATATGCCAGCACTTGTTTTTGTTTGTTTTATTCCCCCAGAGAACAGATGGCAACTGCCCAAACAGATGAATATCCAATTCAAAATGTGGTTCAAATTTGAAGTTACAGAATAAATCTGTTTCTGTTAACTGGCTAAAACTAATCACTAAGAGTATTTTTGATACAGACTCACTTATCCACCTCTGCTCCTTGGCTGGTCCATGTTTAGAACACCGTGATGTTCTCAATTAAAAGTTATCCTCAGTTACCCTACCGCAATACAAAACGGCACCAGTGTCTGTTGCGTAATTTTTGTTTTCTTTAAGAGCGAGATTCGGGTATTGCTCATGTTAAGTTAGTGCTTATAGTTTCGTTAATATTTAACAGTCAGACGAACTTGTGATGCCAGCACGTAAACGGTTAACCCGTTGTATAAAGGGGCAGTACAGACACTCGCAAAGTCTTGTTACTTCACTGACGTCGCCTCAGAGTGGCGAGGCGAGGTCACAAGTTCCCAAACAGCCCCACAGCAATCACACACTCCCCCCACAGGGAGGGCGGAGAAAGACACGCAGGAGACCAGGGGAACGCACTCGAGCCAGGTCAAAGTTACTGAAAACTGCTACCGCTGCTGAGCTCTGACAGGTGGAATGACCAACTATCCTTCACACTCCAATGGTATGCAGAGTCTCCGGAAAGAGCACCTGTATAAGGTGCTGGTCATCGGAGACCTGGGTGTCGGGAAGACTTCCATCATCAGGCGCTACGTCCACCACACCTACTCGACTAATTACCGGGCTACGATCGGAGTTGACTTCGCCCTGAAAGTGTTAAACTGGGATTCAGAGACGGTGCGGCTCCAGCTGTGGGACATTGCAGGTAGGGCAGTGAAGAAGCTGAGTGTGTGTTACGTGTTGTATCTGTCTGTAGATGTGACAGCAGGCCAAATAAACTGGCAACTTGCTTTTCCTCCACAAAAGTTTATGGGGTGTGTAAGGGATCTGTATTGTACGCCGTTTACACCATTTTTCCCTCCTTTTGGTATTTTAAAATATGAAATGTAAAAGAACTAGTGGAGGAAAAATTCAGAAAATTTGTAGCAGTGCTGCTTAGTTCCTGAAAAAAAGATCCTTTGGGTAGATAACACGTATCTTCTAAGTGACAACGAGGCATGACTCTTCTATATTTATGAAACGTTCACAACATAGAGATGCACTGTCACTGTGGAGAGCTGGTATCTGACACAACCCACGTTCTCTCTCTCTCTCTCTCTCTCTCTCTGACACACACACACTGCTTAGACAAGACCAGCACACTGTTGTTCAGTCATTCATTTAAGGTATGATGTTGCATCATGTGATTAGAGCCATGTGAGGGAGATTTAAAGGAGTTACAGGAGTGTTTTGTAGCCCTAATAAAAAAACAAAACCACCTTACTCAGTCACAACGAGCAAAGTGAGACACACACAGAGGTACATGCCTTATGGGTTTAATTTTGCTTCATTAAATTAAATGATTATGTCAGGGTCAAGTAAATAAAGTAAGTCACATCTGATTTAGTTTGTCTACCTGGTTGAATTAATCCAGATGGGCAGATAGGCACTGAGGAGTGAAACATTAATCCTCTTTTCATCATATGGGGAATACATTTCATATGCTTTGATTGGAAGTCATGCAAAAGCACCGTAGGCTTACTGAATGACAGTTTATCAAGTGACAAATGTGACACATGTCTGTCTCTGACTTCTCTTACACAATGGCAATTATTTATATACAGCCTTGCACGAAAGGAGGAAGCTATCAATTTCCCCTTACTCATGATGGCAAATGGCAACACTTTGTCTTTCTCAGAGAGCTTTTATTAAAGCCAGAAGTGGCCTCTCATCCATCCATTAGTATTAACTTTTCTGCTGAGAGGACATTTCCTGCACAGCAAGCAGGATGCACACACCTACGCGCTCTGTTCCGGACCAACGAGTCAAATTAGACAGCATCACGCATCTCTGAGGGAATGTGTTGTTGACAGCTAACCTGCTCCTCTAATTTTCATTTCTTGCACAAGCTCAGATGAACCCACGTACATCCACGTGCATACATCTTCCATATAGACTTTTCATATGCGTACAGGGATAAATGCTGTTTTAGCCTACTTGCAAATTGCATGTCTAAATTAAACAAATCAAGCAGTCACATTGGCCCTATATTTATGTGCGACATGATGGTAAGACTACAGGAATGTGCGGTTTCATGGGAATGCAGGCACTGCTGACTGCAGTCAGCTGTATTAGTTGTTTTGCTGCAAACATGCAGGAAGAACAATGAAAATCTGTCATTGGATCTGATGCTGGCAACAACAACGCTGTCTTATGAATGAATGAATCTCCGTGTTTGTCTGTGTTTGTGAATCACAGGTCAGGAGCGTTTTGGGAACATGACACGAGTGTACTACCGTGAAGCCATGGGGGCCTTCATAGTGTTCGACGTGACACGGCCAACAACCTTTGAGGCTGTCGTTAAGTGGAAAGAAGATCTGGATTCTAAATTAATGCTGGCTAATGGAAAGAGCATCGCCACCGTGCTGCTGGCCAACAAGTGTGACCAGGGCAGGGAGCTGACCAACAATGGTATTAAAATGGACCAGTTTTGCAAGGACCACGGCTTTGTCGGTTGGTTTGAGACTTCTGCCAAGGTGCGACCAAAGTACAGTTATAATAAGTTTGCTACAGTTTGCTAGTCTTTTCCGAAGTATGGAAGGAAACAGATTCTTAAACAAACACAGAACATACCTCATTTTCCTAACATCATATAACAAACGCACCCTTCCTATTGGAAGTCTTTTTAAGCTGTTTTAGTTCCCATCTCTCCCACCAACATGTAGCCACAGCTTCCCTGCATCCTTCTCCACCAGCACCATAGCACCCAACTGTAAGCCCTGGGGGGATATTGACTCATCTCTCCCTAATTTTACATATAATATATTAGCAGGGAATAATGAGCCAAGAGCCTTGATGCCAAATGCTGACTATATTGTGCTGCTTTAATCAATCAGTCATTTTAAAATAGTCTTATCTGACTGAAACAGAGCTTCTTTTTTTTAGCTTTGTTCCTGAGTGTCAGAAGAGAAGCCAGTTGCTTCCCAGAGCAACCATTTAAGAAATACATACAACCCCGAGCAAAAGTGCATCTAGGGATACTTCTCAAAATATAAGCACTGTTTAGGATTGAAAGAATCCCAGCCATCTCTGAGTCACACTCTGGTCACTTTAGTCAGAAACGATCATCTCCATAGAGCTAACTGGGCTTTTATATGCTCATGAGATACATTTACAGTGCAGGGTTAGAAGAAATTCCATAAGTTATTGTTAACTGTCTGGTGTTCAAAAACTCCCACATCCTACGGGGAGTTCTGCTTCCAATCAAAACCCCACTGTTTTCAGTTCTGTTCTTGAGTGGGCATTATAAAACCTCAGTTTGATAACATATATATTTTCTACCTTCTTAATGTGCTGGATAATTTGTGTTTTAGGCACCATATAATTTGCTGTAGTTATGATATACATGCATTTGGTGTTCTGCGATCTTGACCATTTAAATTACTAGGTTTAAATAAAATGTTCACGCTCGGTGTGTTTGCAGAAGAACACTGTAAAATTGTTTTACTTTTATGCTGCTGCATAGAATTCTGCTAATATTGCATTCACTTACACATCTGTTGTTGACACTGACGTGTTGGAGCTGCTTGTGGCATCAAGACTCGACATTCTGAAAGGTCAAAGTTTATAAGGTGCAGATTTGCCCAGAAGTGTCAGAGGTAGACTATACAAACAGATGTATCCACCCCTTATGTGGAGCAGCCAGAAGAATGTTTACTGCATTTATTTAAAGACGTACATACATGATGGTGTTTCTGTGATGGTAAAAGCAGTCCGATTGGTCACATTTATAAAGGTGGGATCATGTAAATGCTTCTAATGCTCTGTTAGTGTTCTGACACAAGGTTAGTAAAACTGGGACATTGTTTTAATGAGTTCTTCTCTCTCATATAGGACAATCTCAACATCAGTGAAGCTGCAAACTTCCTAGTCAAGCACATCATGGCCACAGAAAACGACATCCTGAAAACTGTGGTACCCGACACCATCTCACCGCAACTCGACTCAAACAGGCAGATGAGCTGCTCTGGCTGCTTGAAATAACGAAAGGACAGATCAGTGTGAGAACTGAAAAAGAATGGATGCACAGCAGGACTAAGAGGCAAAGCCATCTGAATCTTACAAGGAAAGGGGAGCAGTGGTGGTGTGTACTATGAAACGATTGGAACAGTTTAGGCTCTTTGGTCCAAACTAGAGTTGAACATTTTAGTTTGTTGCGCTTTTGAGGAGCAAACCAAAGCTTGCAGACTGAAGTCACTTGAAGTTGCTCATTTATTTAACACTTTTTGTTGTAACGTGCCATGCTGCGAGTGTGAAGTTTTTGCCGGAATAATGAAATAACACTGCTGTCTGTGCTTTTCGTCACGATGTGGTGTGTTGAGCCAGAGACCATAGACAAATCTCTGGTCATCTCTGCCTATTTTTTTTAACCTAATTAAATTTTTATTCTTACAACAACAACTCGCTTTGAAAAAGACTGGCAACATCTTCACCTCATGAATGGTATGAAAGTTCTTCCAATATGCTTGATGCAACACACTCAAAGGACTCAATGCAAATACACATCTTTAATTTTATTCTGCACTAGCCAAAGAAAACAGTACTGACCTCTTTCAGAGGATTCCATTTATTTATTTATTTTTTTGCTATTTTCTAATGATGTGAAATTTTCACTTTTTAAAAAAAAAAATCAAATAGGTTGTTTATATAATTAACTTTGAGTATTTAACACTGGGTAATGTACCAAGATAAACTGCTTCAAATCAGTCACACAACTAACGAACTTTAATTTGTTGGTTATATCTGTAGTAACAGTTTGGTTGTGGCAAGAAGCTGCAAAGAAGTGGAGTGAAAGATTTTAGGCACACAAACATCCTGGAGCCTGCTTGGTGTAAGCAGACTTTTATGGCCATGGAACAGACGTGCTGGAGCAATTCAAGTTTATGTGGTCAAAGATTTCCCAGACATATGTCTTTGTCAATAGCAGGGGAGTGGTTGTCATACTGCTACACACTGGGTTTTAAGCTTATAACATCTAAATGGTAAATGGACTGCTTTGTTATTGATCTCTCATAGTGCCTTACACTACAAGCTACACTCACAGAGCATCTTACTCACAAGGACAGTTCAGTTCATTTCAGCTGGAGCCGTGGACCAAACCATCAGTTTCCGATTACCAAAACTTCACAGTGTTAGTTTGGCCCACGCTACCTCCTGAGTCACACTTTTATCAGAAGTGATTATTAAGTGTCTGTGTATGTAATTTTTCTTCATCAGAACCTAACCCCTTGTATCCATGGTAACTGGAGTCTTTTTGGAGTATCCTCCAACATCTTTGTGAAGCTATCTCTCTCTGTTTGCAGGCACACATCAACGCTCATATCCATATAGACAGATTTCTGTGATCGCTGCATCCTTGTTCCTGTTCTCCTCTTCTTTTTATTGTTTCACTGTGTTTTTTACTCTCTTAGCTATTTGAAGTTTTTCTTTTGTATGTTTTCTGCTTATTTTCCTTTTGCTTTCTTCTATTCTTTGATTTACATTTTATACATTAGGTACATTATGCAGATACTGTATGCAGCATCTTCTACATACCGTGGGATTTAGTACTTAACCTGATTGTCCAGTTGCCTTGCATTGAGCCTGCTCCTTTGTACTACTTGCTAGTATTATCCTCTAAATTCATGCCATTCTTTTTCTTCTTCTTCTGTGAATTAAGACAGGATTTGACCTGATATAAATTTAAGTTAGCTCTCATATCCTGATCTGGATCAGCCCACTAATCTGGATTAAATTAATTGTTTGGTCTGTTGGCATTTTTGCAAATGTACTATGGGAGGTTGCTTCCATAGCTGACTGAGGTTTATATGGCGGTGTCATGTGGTAGTGTGAGTTTTTATTGGTTATTTACAGCATGCACAAGGGTGGATTTAAACAATGGCCTCTCCACAGAAAAATGTCACATTTTTTTTAGCTCGTCATGAGAGCGTCTGACATCATGCGTCTCTCATATGATATCAGAATGGCAGCGTTACACTTTACAGGCACAGGAAAATGTGCTGTGAGAAGTCATTGTATGGTGTGTTTGAGAAGCAAAGAAAGGCTTCAAAACATCACTTCTTTAGTTGTTATGCTGTGTGCAGATTGTACTTGTGTATTTATTTTAAAGCTGTGAAATCAGTTAACACGTATAAACCATGTTATCTGTTTTTCTAACACTTTCATAAAACTTCATAAAGCAAGGACTTTATTCATCCACTTTAACGTGGAACAAACATTTATTTTCTGATCACACTGAGGACCACTGTAAGACAGTGAACAGAAAATCAGTGTCTAACTTTTATTAGTTTAATAAAAATTAGACTGTGTGTGTGTGTGAGGCTGAATCAGGACTCTAAGATTCTCATAAGGAAGCCACATGATTGTTGATTAATCTCTGCCCGAGGGTTTAGAAGATTAGGTCATCTGCTTGTGGCATGTTAAGGCATCCTTACCAAGAAAGCATCAAAGCATTTTAGAGCTCAGTCATCTGAAAACCATCAAGTTGTACGTTGACGAAACAGGATTTCCAGAAAAGTGACAAAGGACAAAATAAGATAAAGAAAGTCACTGGGCTACCATGTGCTTCCAGCCAGAAGAGGTTCAGTTGTCTTTTGTCTATAAATCTGCGGAGCAGCAATCTAGGGATGGAAATGTATTTTTCCAAAGGATAAACACCTATTTGATCTTTTTGTTGTTGTTGTTATTTGCATTTTTATTTGGAACCAGGGATGTACATGCTTGATCACACCACAACAGCTTTCACATTATAATTTTTTTGGTAATACATGTAAACCCAACACCAATGAAGAAAGTAAGTAAATAAGGTAATATTAACATAACTTTGAGGAGGTTAGCAAGTAGAGAGTGGAAGTATCTGCTCTAAATGATAATACATCGTCAATCCAGGATCCCCAAGACTTAAACACTGTTCCTCTTCCTGTCTTAAAATAAATGTCAGCTTCTCAATCATGTAAATGTCGTGAACCACAGTAATCCAGTCCTTAAGTGAAGGAGAGTCTTTCACTATTTTCTTGTCAGAGTCAATTAAATTTTGTACAGATATTTGTTTTCAAACTCATCCAGTGTATCTGCTCTTAAACGTAAATATAAGATCTCAAAAGAAAAGGGGGCTGTTATCTTAAATATTCTTCCTATAGCTATCTTTATTTGAGACCAGTGTTGCTGGAGTTGTGGGGAAGTCCAAAACACATGAAAATGGTTTGTATTTTTTTCTCTATGAAACCTCCAGCAACACAATTCTTTATTTAGGAAACTACTTTGTGAAGGTGTCCTGAAAAATCATATGTTCTCCAATTGATGTTCTGATGGTGATGGTGAAGAGGATTGTCTAACTCTGGAAGGTTGTAAGATCTAAATCATAATTTTCATATTTATACCATTCATTTGACCCTTCTTGTACTGTCAGGGGGCAGGATAGAAACACAGCATGGCATTTCTGTCACTTTGGATGGTTAAGATCCCAAATCAAACCAGAAAAATATCCGCAAATAGCAAAACAGCCCTCGACTGTAAACAGGTCAGGGTTTGTTTTTTCCTTTAATTTGTCACCAATCTGTAAATGAATCACTGAAAAGCTGTTTGAGGTTATTAGTCATAAAATATGGCATTCAAAATAAAACAAATGGCAATTTTTATTTCATTCTGTTTATTCTTAAAGTTTAAACTCATTGTGTGATGAGAGATGGGGTTGATTTAACTCTTGATTTCTGGAATTTGGAATCATGAGCACATTAAGGCACACTGTGTGGCTCTCGGGCTCTGCCAAAGATCCACCTACAGAAAATGTCCATATATTCTCTGTGAGACAGGAAGAGAGAGAAGCTGGTAGTAAGAGAAGATTGAAGAGACACTTAAATGTTACAGCAACAAAAGGTTACCAAGGAGTCAGTGCAGGTAAACCAACAGACACGCCGAAGTTGTCATCACCACTGCTTTAAAAAAACATTTAAACATTTCACACTGATTAAAACGGATCACTCTGTACTTTATTAGCACAAAATCAGCTACCTTAATTAATCTCATGTGACAAGTTTGATAAATCAGTTACGAGTATGGAGATCATAAAAATGACTTGGTCTGATGATCTGACGGTGCCTTTCTCCCTGTGGTCACTGCCAAAAATTGTTCAAGTGGAGCCACCTCTTGTAACGTTAGGCACATTGCAGCTGCTTTTACTTCAAGACTCACAGATACCAGTTAGTGGCCGAGAAGTAAAACAGTTCATATGAATTACATTTGTATTTTTATACAAATCCTAAACTTTACTTGCCATAAACTGGGGTCGTATACAAATATGACTCATTCAGTGCATTTCCAAGCTGTCCAATTTCTGCAGACAAAGAGAAAGAAAGACAAGTGCAGCCACTTGAGAATGACTGGATTTTGAACTTAATCACATTTTGTGAATACCAGCAAATCTTTCCCAGGCTTAGGACCACCTGCTTTAAGGTGATTTCCTCATCTTTAAGCCCTTGGAACTTATCGTTTGTCGGTTCCCACCCAATCAATTTGACCAAATTAACCCACTTGACCTTTTGCACCCAATTTCATACATTCTTTCACCCTGAGTAAGCTGTGAGAATGACTAATATCACTGCAATTAAAAAACCTTGGTGTAGTGTTGTAGTCATCCAGCGCACGTGGTGCTGTTTTTGCTCACATAAAAGAAAACTAAGAGATGACAGGCAGTGATGAAAGAGGTGAAAACAAAGGAAGATCAGGCAGGAGATTAAAAAGCACAGAGGTGAGACAAAGTGGTAGAGAGTGTCTACAAATTTAAAGGGAGTAATATTAACAATGTAGTGTAGTAATAAATCATTTATATGTCTGCCCAATTTGAAAGATGAGTCCTCTGAAGACCCCGTAAGCTCAGCTATCTGTCATACATGCTAAGAAATATTACATCTCATTAACGTTACTGATGTTTTTTGGGATTAAAAGTGAAGGACAAAGAAACATATTTTACTGTTTGGGAAACTTTATGCTTCTTTATTCAGTTTAATATTGGGGGGGGTTTGTTTTGTTTTTACATATGGTCTAAAAATAAGAAAAATCGGGAACGCATTTGCAAACGTTCATAGAAAGAAACAGTACTTTTGGAACATGGCTTAAAAAACACACACACAATCACTAGAAGAGCTCAATGTAGTACAAACTACTCGTCTGTACTTAGTGGAATGATTGCATAAACACACATACTGCCACTAGAGGGCAATACGCACCTAAGTTATCACGCATTTCTTGTGCAGTGTGCAGTCAGCTTGAAAGAGAAAGCAAAAGATTGTTTTGTCATTGTCCCTCAAAGCTTACAGTCATCGAAAACACAGTGTGGTTACTCAGCATATCTGATTTACACTATTGTTCAAATCAAATTTTACACTAATC